AGATCATCAAAGTACCTAAGCATGGGTGGAAATTCACCTGACCTCAGCTGAATTTTCTAAAACAATTCCTAAATGAAAGTCCTATACTTATTTGGAAAATGTAGGTCAGTTCAATGTTTTCAAAGAAACTAGTGAAAGAAACGACTAAGTAAGAAAATGAATATCAACGATTGCTCAGGTTTTAGATATAGTTATATATTTGGAAAACACGCAACTCAAACCGTGGAACGTTGTCGAAAAAGATAAACAGTTTCATATTTTGAGTTGTATAACATTATCCAAACCCCCGATGATAATTGCAAACCATGTTGTTTAAATTGTCCAAATATGTACAATTTCAATCAAATAAATTATAAATACAAAAATCTCTGCTTGTCTGTTGACATTCAGCAATTGATACAACAGTATCCGTGAGAACCTTGCCTTTGTTCCGATACCCGGATGTTAGTAATAATATTAGTAAAACACCCCATGGCACTTTTGGTCACCTCTTAAAATAAAGTGCCTTCTCACATAGGAAGGATATTCAGAGGAGATGACCGTCCAATTTGTCAGAAAATCTTTCTAATGTCTAAATTCCCAACGAAAACTCAACGATTTTGTCTGGTTTCTTTTCCGTTGGGGATACACCATATTTACTTTGGTGGCCATTAATCTATTATCGCCCACTAGATAAGCACAGATTCTTTTATTCGATTTTAAGATTAAGTACGACTTCATGTTGTCTTTTGTTGAGTGTGTTTTTCTAACTGGAGTGGCGAAAATATTAAGCTATTGATATTTCTCGATAGCTCTTCAATTTGGAGTGAAAACCACAGAACTTACGCACCACGATTGAGAAACTTTTGTATCGCCATTTAAATCGATCTCGTCTGGCATGGGAATTGTAACAATTTTGAGAGATTTCGTATTTTAATTACAAATATGTTGACTTACAGCACGTGTATGTTATTTAGCTGTTACCTTAGTCCAAATGAGCAATCTTTCCCGGAATTCAAAATCCCTTCCAGGATAAACTACGGCGAGAGGCCATTCTCATACCCTGGATAAATGACTATGGTTGCGCCAAAAAATAAATGTATGTTATTTTAATTGAAATAGTAGGCTATTTTTGCATGGTGCAATCAGATTGTCTGTGAAAACAATGCTTGTCATGTGAAAACAATAAATTATATATTTTCCCGGGATTTTCTCAGCAAGATGTCACAGCAGTTACAGTTAACGCACTGCGCGAATTAAGTCTTTATCATCCTTCTCATAGTCAACCGATGTCTTGCGTAAGGATTCATATCAATATGTTTATGGATGGAGCTGAGAGTGTGTATTATATTCATCTAAACAAATAGAACTGGCAATTCCAAACGGACAAAAACAAGTACATCACAGCTTGCACTTGAAGCCTAGTAGCTTCTCTACTTTTTTCGCCAGAGCACATTCTTTCCTCCTAGTCGCCTTTTCTTCAAACGTAAACAAAAGGGGTGTGGTCGCCCCCTCCCTGCTCAGGGACATTGACTTGTAATCAGCTGGTCACTAGGCTAAAAGGATCAAATGGGCATGGTTCTCTCTTGGAGTTTTGGAAGACAGAATTCCGCGCGTTTCTTATATTCTTGAGTGATGTCCCTATTATGTTTACACCTGAATAATATAAAAAGTACAGTTTGATTGCGTGTTAAGGTAACTAGTCATACCAATATCCCCTAATTAAATCCTAGACCATTTACTAAATTATTACCCATTTTGACTCATTTATCACAATGGAGCAGTGAATGGAGACACGTATTTTCACAAACTCGGTTATTAAAGCCTAGTCTGACATCTCATTTACAAGGAATTCAATTAAAATCTACACATATAAGTGAGGTGACATAAGACAAGTATTTATTTCTGTGTGACATCATGTTAAACATGGATTTTCGAGTTTAACGTGCAGCCCTTCCGACAAAACGTAATTTGTGGATCCATTAGGATTTAATCAGCTAATATTATATAAGTTAATTAATTAATTTGTAAATACCATAATATGCGAATCATTTACCTGTGTATCAATTATACGTTTCGTTAATAATACACAAAGGAATCTCTTGACCACACGATGACAGTTTTTCCCGGGGAGGCTAATGACTTATGTACAAATGTATGCGAGTATGTCACATAGGCTGGACATGGTCTACAAGAACAATTTACCGGCGACTCGGGACAAATCTAAATGTCACCAGAGTCTGGATGTGGATATGGTACTTGCTCAGTCTACTGACTACTGACATTTAGCTGAGCGAATCTCACGGCATTTACAGTTTCGCGTAAAGCTCCAGGAATTAATGAATTTACTTTTATTCATAAACGCTCCGGTACCCGGTTCCTTGCATCTTTGTATTTCCCCAACGTGTTTACGCGGTACTGTATGCTTTGTTGGAGGGAGATCATGTAAGAAATAATATATTTTTGGAAGAGTTGGGTGTAGTATGTTTTGTGACTGTGGGGCTAGGTGCATGTCCTTGGGGAGGGAGGGGCAAGATTTTTTGAGGCAAAATACAGATGTTCGTATTGGTACGAGCGTAACTTACGATTCCGAGAAACCGTTTCTAGTTCCGAACAATGACATGCGACCGGATGGTAAGTTACGACGGTTCCAAAGATGGATCCAGTGGGGGAAAGGGGGGGGGGGTGGCTACAGTATGTCATTGTTGAGGCAAATGGGTAACTTTAGAAAAACTTCACATTAGAAGATAATGGATAGAGCAATGAGTTTTGAGATGTCAGACATTGACATGAATCTGGCACAGACATTAGATTGCAGTTGTGCATGATTTACATTGCGTTTCTGTTTGAGTTTGTTGTTCGTAGTGAGAACCAGAAGGGTGTCACTCTGTATGTGCACCTGTATTTCAACAACTTAACAATGCATGCAAATATGAAGTTGAGTTATGGATGTTTTGTATTCTGTTATGTTTAGCCCGATGTTTAGGCCTATATTTTAAATTGCGGGTGATTATGAAAGATAATTCTGTTGTTGAAGAAAGTGAAATATGAATTTAATAATGGCCATGTGTTAGACTGACCGATTACTTTGAAGTACTAGTATTAGTATAGTTCTATATTTTCATTGTTTTCACTGAATGTTCGGCAAATGCACTTGATGCGTTCAATTGTTAAATTTTTCTCGTCAGATGTAGGCTAACGTGTTGTGTAAGGTTGTGCGGCTGTATTTTGTTGTTGTTTTTTGTCGTCCTGCATCGTGCATCATACTGACTCTATTGAGTTCTGGTGAAATAAACTTCTGTTGCCTTGTTGTTTGATGCGTATTTCTCGTTATCTTTTCATTCTTCAGACTGTGGCTTCGTCCTTCGGCAAGGCCGGGTCTTCAAAACAGTTGACATCACTCTTATGCGTCACTGGTGTCCAAAAACGCGTGTGTAGTCCCATTTTCTCCTATTGCCATCCATATGTATAAACCATGGTTCTGAAACAATAATTAAACGTTCACTTTCACCTGTTTTGCCCCCAACTGAGAAAACCCATTGAGACGTATATTATCGAGTGTGGGTCGGAGAAGTCGCCCTCCCCCTCTGAGTTAAATGCCCTTCTATGACCAATAGCCAATTATCAACCTCGCTAATTCTAACTTATAGATTTCCAGACACTTTCACTTAAACCATATTTTGTCACGATATTTGCAAGGGGTGGTTTCAAGAATGTTATTTGGTTTATTGTGTTCAGCTGTCAATTAGTTTCTTATGCAGAATGTTTTGATATGGCCCCATCCCATTTCGGGAAATAGAGTCTGATATGATTTTGTCACCAGCTTGTCCAGTGAGAGTGACGTGAATGGGATCGTATAGAAGTATTTTAACCACTAATTTCTACAAATGTCAAAACAATGTCAAATGTATGTAAATTCAAAAATACAGAATATAAGTAATTTATAGCTGAAAGTGAATTATTAAATTGTTGAAGTTGTAAAAGTGAATTAACGTTCATTTCATAACTGCTAGGAGCTAGATGCGGGAGACTTACACAGAAGGTGACGTAGGGTCGTAAACGCGATTGTCGAGAATAAGGCCACCCGCAAACGCATATCGTTATCCATATGTCATTTATGGCTGGAAAATAATATCACCAATAATGATGGCAATCTTTTTCTGTCCTCGGGGTTTAAATGATGAATTCTTTTCAAAATGAAATTGTCATTTTTTGTTGTGTTTCACCTTACTTTGGTTATTTATGGCTTATACTGAAGTGAGAGGTCCCTAGGAGCTGGTCACAGAAGACTTGACAACTATGGCATGCCCAAAGGGGACCTCTTCAGGTATAAAATTCCAATCGAATGTTTTATCTAGTCTAGATTCTGTTTTGGTTAGAACTATTGTATGCTATAAAATATAAACCAGGGATAGATATAGGCTTTTATATATGCTTAACCTATCTCATTCTTGAGCCCACTGCAAGGAGGATTGGCTCCCAGAGTGCACCACCGATATTCTGTCCCATATATGGGTATGTCGTAATACAAAATTCGAATTCAAACAGCCGCCATTTTGTTCACTTCAACATTTAAATCGTGAATTTTGGTCTTATTTCCAAACGAAAAATTCCAAAACTCACAAGAAATGATCGAGATATTGGTTCGAATCTTTTGAACTGTTTATTTTGAATTTATAGTCGGTTTTAATTTCAGAAAATAACGACATTTCGACGTTTTCATTGTTGGAAAATATCGAGTTTCGATCCTGGGAGCCAATCCTCCTTGAGCCCACTGTGAGTCCTGTAGTGCATACTTGAAACCCGGGACTTGAAACAGCCATAGAGATGGCAAAATATAGTACTTTTATATTATAAGCATATATTACTTAGTTTAAAACCGGCGTGAGTTCATCGATTAAAAGAAAGTTCCATATGACTTGAATTCAAACTAGATTCATAATCATTGATGAAAAGTGCGTGCCAGTTCGAATTTCGCGGGAAAAACTGCGCATGCGCATCAACCATACAAAATACTATTTCCGGTTATCCGCCATTGAAAATGGAAACTTTTCGATTGGATATAATAAAAGATTTTATGCTTTCAAGTGGGGGCAAAGTGAAAAATCATGAACTTGTAACTCAGTTTAAACCATACTTGAACCATCCAACTGACAAGGGTATGTATCTGATAACCATAATATGGTCTTATATGCTCCATGCTATAGGTCTATAATTTGCTTTGGAAAAACTCCAAAATGAATTCAAATTTTTAAATTTTTGCCATGTTGTTGTCACTGATTTAGATACTCTTGTGCATCGGTGTTAATGCATAGATTACGCCTGATAACGTACCAATATGTTCAACTTTTGTATTCTACAAAGAGGGTCACATATTTCGAATAACAACCAATTGTTCAGGTTTGTTTTGATTTTGAAATATCACTTCCGGTTTTGTTATATTTGAAAAATTGAACATTAGAACATAATTGCTGTCTAGAAGAAGGTGGTTGATTATGTGTGCCTTATTTGTCCTCTCTCTTTTGACTTTTTCTTATCAGTTGGACTTCTAAGATAGCCCTAATCCTGCTGCTGTACCTCTGTTTTCTTGAGTCAAACTTGGACTACCCATTGGCTTTCTGAAAGCTCATGGACTTACCTTCTTCTAAGGCAACTGTATTGTGGCCTTCCATTAAAGATATATTCCTGCATGAACAACTGGTCATGTCGTAATCATAAAATCTGAAATCATATGTCTGCCATTTTTCCATCACAATTTGAATTGTGAGTTTTGGTCTTATTACCTCAGCAAAAATTCCAAAACACACATAAAGTGATCAGTGTATTAGTTCACATCTTCTGGATCGCTTACTTAGAATTTACAGCCAGTTACTAATGTCAGACATTAATGACATTTCGTCCAGTTTTCAAACATCACCATTTTTCTTGGAGCCATTTTGTTTTAATCATTAGACGAAATCCTGATGAAATCATGTCATATCTCATCGAGGAGCCGAGCGGGTTCCGTTTTAATTAATGATTTATTTATCTGGCGATTTTTAAAATATTCAATAAATTTATGACACGATGGCCAGCTTTTTTCAAATGGAGTGCACAGTATTCTAGATGAAATCACCTCTAGTCAAGTATTGGCTAGAGACTTGAGTAACCATGGACCAGTGTCACCCTAAGTATCAACCTGCTTATGAAAGAGTTTCTAGGGAATCCAGAGCACAATCATTTTGTACTCATATCTCATGCACATTTTAGGCACATTATTTCACAAGGCCATGATACTACATAATGTACATCTTATCATCATCGATAACTATTTGCACTGGGATATAAAGGAAGTTAAATTATATATCTGCTTTATATGGGCTTATTAGCCTTTTGCAGATTATTGACAAAGACATGTAATCAATTTCCAATTACAATTGTTGAGGGTTAGTTATACTTATTCAGTTAAAGGTAGTATCAGATTTTTTTTTTTGTCAAATAAATTAGATATCACTCTGGATTATATACTCCAAATAGGCATTTGTGTGAGACTGTGAGTGTTTTTGGCAATAATAGTGAGTCTATGGAATTGCATCTCTCAGTCTGTCCATATCTCTGTTTATTCTTCTCCATGTCTTTCCATTTTTTCATCTGTCTGCCTCTCCATTCATCCATCAATAATTTTCAGACAAATGAAAAATCTGAAGTAATATCCATAATATCAAGGTCAAAAGGTCAAATTTGGTAATTTATACCGTCAGACCTTTTGCCTATTTTTGGAAAAAGTTGCATTTTTGATTCTGAGTATCAAATTTTTATATTATTTTAAATCACCTTGTAAGCCTGAATAGTGTCTTTTTCCTTTCTAAATTCCTCAAAATCTTCTTTGTAAGGAGATTCTAAAAAAGTTTATACTTCCTTTGGCTTTGAATTGTGGAAAATTAGCTAGGTCAATGGCTAGTCTAGCTACAAGCTCTTCTGACCCCCCCCCCCCCCACTACTCATCCCAACAAGTGTGAGAAGGTGTGTAGTTAAATAGAGGGGTGGGGGGGGGTCACAGGGATTGTAGCTAGACTACTCGATGGCTTGATTCTTCTGGAATCTAAATTATACTCATGGACAAAATAAATATTGGAGCTGGGACATCTACAGAATTGGAGGGCATCCTGGTTATTTTTTTGTGACATGTGTCTTGATAGCTAATTCAACAGACGTTAGAAACGATACATTATTTAGAAAAAATATGAAAATCAAAAAGATGAACATAAAATGTATGCTTAAAGACATTTATACTTTTGAATCTATACTGTCTTCAAAAGAGCTGTCATTTGCATAACGCCCTGAATTTTCAAGTTTGTGAACAGATGGAACCTGGATGGGGCCTATTCGTTGGTTCAAGGGCGTTCTTACAAAATGATAATATTTTAACAAAAGTAAAAACTTTAGGTGAAGTTAACAAAAATCATAGAGTTTAACAGCATTTTTAAATGAACATATGTTTTCATAAAAATTGTTGTTTTTTCTATTGAGTAACTATTTTTATTATTGATTTTTCAGCTGAAAATAGACGCCTCTTCAAGGACTTTGTCAACACATTGGCAACAATAAAAGTTGAAGATGTAAGTATTCTCACGATTGGTTTAAAAAAAATGTTAAAAAATCCTTAAAAAATGTTTTTCTTAAATTAAAGGACCACTTTGATTTTTCTTTGTACATGCAATTTTAATTGTAAAAATTCCGTAAATAAATAGTTTTTGAGAAACTTACTTCATGCTTTTCAGGATTTTTTTGTATAGAATTCAATTTTTACATTTGGTTACATCACATACTTGAAAATGAACAGATATATCGTATAAACGTTTTACACAAACAGTATCGATTCTCTTTTGACCAATAATTTTAAATTGATGTACGCAATAACTGTGACATTTACATGACTTACTTCCTACTATCCCAATCCAGCATCTTATGTTAACCCAGAATCTTGGAATAACATGTGAAGTGTTTGAACAACTTGCATCTTAACATCAATACTTAGTAATTCAACAGGGTCTTCATATTGCTTTTCAATGAGTTTCCCTTTAAAATGAAATCAAATTGATTCCTCATTGTTATGACAAGTGTAATGAAGCATCATTGAGTAGTAATTGAATATGTTTTTTATTAGAGTAGTAGAAGGGAAAACATATGTTTAACATACAGAATATACATAGTAAACATATTTGAGAGGCTGGGAAATTCCTTAGATTTTAATTTTTTTATGCAATCAAAGTTTTTTATTCTATTACATTGAACATCTATTGATGAAGATATCACATGATTAAAAAAAATTGTAAGGCTTTATTTTAGGTTATACTACAGACATGGTAGTTTTCATGCCACAGAAGGCAAAACCCTGCAAATATAAAATGATAATGTATCTGAAATCTGGACTCATATTGATGATTGTGTCAATGCACATACAGAGGGTGGTATAGAAAATGACACATTCTCATGATATATTTTAAGGCCCTTTTTGAATTTTTGGCCCTGGCAGTTAATTACTTTTAAAATACAGCATGTTTATGTCTCTAGTTTTGATCACCATAGATACACACACTCTCTCTGTCCTACCATTTTTTATTATCCAAATCAACTGCTATATGTCCATACTCTCTGCATGTACCCTGAGAACACAGGTAAGTTCTAAAATAAACTCTGAACAGTTAAGACAATTTTAAGGTTAAGCTGCCCCAACCAATAGACTAATACGTGATACACAAAAACATGGTCATTAACATAAATATCTCCCGCAATGCATCACTTCAAGTGGGACAAATTTTCATTGGTCCGTTGATTAAACCAAATTCTCCCAACCTTAAGACCATGTTTTTGCGTTTTGTCGGGACAGTAGAGGTCATACTAATTTCAAGTTACAACCCTCACAATTGATATAAGTCAAACATATATAAACATGACATCAAACCCGCGTTATATACACGAGAACTTGCTTCTTTTTCATATCGAGTCATCGTGTCTCAGCTTCTGGGAACTAAGTCGGTGACGTCACCGTAGAACATTTCATGATTATCGCCAGTTTCGAAAAATATTCGTGAAAACGCTTTGCATATTGCCATAAGGACCTATATTTTTATCGATTGTGCAAATATCCGTGAAGAGGAATGTCAAATAATGCTGAAATGATGTATTCAAAATCGAACTCAGTATATTTCAATGGGGAAAAAAACCGGATGTAAAAAATCTGTTCCCGTAATTGGAGCTCTTCACCAGGGGAGGTGAGAATATTGTTGTCATTCGCGTACACCTCTATTGCAGGTGGTCATCCCAGCCCAGGTCATAAAACATTCAAACAAACCGTGCTGACATTTTCTCAACCAATCAGTGAGCAGAAAGAAACACGCTTATATAATGTTTCATGTTGGTCAATACTATGACTTCAGAGGTAATGACCATATATAGAAAGTCATCCTTGTATCAACGACAAGCTCTCATTGGTTCAAACGTTTTTCTTGAACTCTAAACTCAAGGAGTGTGGACAAAGCTATCTTTAAGGAGTTAAGTCAAACGAATGTGAAATGTAATACATGTACTGATGTTACATTTCCTCCAGGACAGAGCTATTCCGGCTGATATACTTTTTGTGCTCATTGATTCATTGAAATCTGTCTGTGTGTAACTTGCCTTACTGCCCCAGGGCATGTCAGATTGTTCAGTTTGCAGTTCTCAAAAAATAATTCAATGGGATCCTATAAGATATTTACTTAAATACTCCTTTAAGTAATTTATTGGCTAATCTTGGCTTGCGGTTCAACACGTCTATCATATAATTATTTGTATTGCCTCAAAAAGAGTGTTTCTTTTGTCATTTCAACTTTGTGAAGTTTTGTATATATGTACATACTGTATACATGATAATTTGAAACAATAGTTTTTTATTGAATACTATAATTCGTCAATTTGAGACGTCTAGTTGTGTATGGCTTATGGGGGATTGTAGTGATCAATTTATGATGATCCGGATCTTATTAATAAGAACAAATATTGGTTTTGATATCTGGCGCAAAGTATAGTGAAGTTGAACAGTGTACTTTTTGTTCACAAAACACATTGTGTCACAAATTAAGATCACTGACCTTTGTATACCATTTCCGCAACACAAAACTAAAAATAGCAAAAAGTCAATACCTTTTTAGGTTTTATTGTGTTCATTTGCGGGTTTAAATGTTGTCTAAGATTTAAGTATTTTTTATTTTAGTGTCACTCCTAATGTCATATTTGTACTCGCTTAGACTGACATTATTTACTGAAAAGCTTCTCGCAAACAAATCTCTTAGATTGACATGAAACGCTACACATTTACACGAGTTTAATGTACTTGATTAAAAAAGCAAAGACTAAACGATACAAATCTTGTGTTAAAAATGTTAACTTTGTAACTTAATATAGTATTTGTTCTTCAGTTGTATTGCAATAATAGTTTTTAATGTTAAACCAGTGACAATTGAGCATTTAGAAATTATTTGCATTATGTTGAAAACAAAATATTGGCTGCCGAGCCTCTTGGCATTTTGGAGATGAATACTTGTCGATTGTTCTTCTAACCATAATAGCACCTCTAACCCCTTATTCACATTCAGTTTCTAAATTCAAATAAGATAATTGTATATTTTCTGTAAAGTTATTGAATATAAGATTGTAATATGAAAGATGTAAAACTGAAATCTAAAATCAGTCAAGAATCAGGTGTGGTGTGACAAGTGACGAGACAGTATATTTGATCTGACCGTGTGTATTCTCTGGTCAGAGTTTCTTTTTAATAGAACAACATGTGTTCTCTGAGAAGTATCTAGAACAAAACAAATGCTAGCCATATTTAACTCATTTCCTACCTTTGGAGAAGTTTTAGATATTTTGTTATATTATCTATTTTATATGTCATATTTTAGAAAATAAGGCTTACATTTGTAATAAGAATGTATCATGTGGAGATTCTAATCCATACGAGAAAATAAGTTTTATATTTTTATTATACTAGGGGTTTTACTAATTTACTTGGATGAAAAAGTATTCTTTTTCTGTTCAAAAAATCCTTCTGGTCAAAGATATGACTGTCTAAAATCATTTGTCACATCATACGAAGTACTTGACGATCATCAAAGAGCTAATTGTAATAATAAAATAATAATATAAAAATAATATGACACAAGTCCAATATAACCTCACCTGCACTTAGAATGTTACGTTTTATTTCGAACGTTCAATTTCTAAAGAGTGTTATCAAATTACAAAGATTCCCTGTGTCAATTATTTCGTTCATAAAGGTGTCACATGTCCTCGTATATTAAGTAGGGTCGCTGTATATACAGCTTCTAATCCTTGTATTGGTTTTGTCAAGATAAACAAACCAGTTTTTTCTCATTGTTATATCTTGCAAGAACTTGTATGAACTATGATGTTAAGAATTCTCTATGATATTTTCTTTACTAAACATTAATAAAGACCACTAAATAGGAGCCGATTTACAAAAAAATTCTACTTTTTCTCTATTGTGAATATGTGTGTGTTCAAAGTTGAAGGGCTTTAAAATAGGTATTTATTTATTTGTTAAGTATACATGTTAAGAAACGATTTAAATTTTTAACAAATAATTTATTAAAAATCACATATCACCGCCCAAGTTGCCATCTGAAGAAATATGTAAAGTCAACATTTGACTGTTTTCTGAATAATAATCCATTTAAAAACATTTTTTACAAGTTATATTAGTTAGATCTTAGATCAACACGACCAATGACTTTTATTAAAATGTACAAAAAAGTTTTTGTGGTGCCATCTTTTTGGATGTAATGAAAACATTTTGCAATAAATACTGGTATAACCCAGGGCTCTATTTTAGCCCCTATTTTTTTATAAGATATTTGAAGGTTTTATGATAATTTCAGACCCTTAATTGTCCCACTGAGAGAATTTTGGTAGAGATATAGAGACACCATTCACCTTTTCAACTACAAGCTCTCAGATTTCGTTCATTTTACATGATGGTTCCTTATAGGAATAGGACCATCGAGAAAATGTTCAAAATTGTTCCAAATTCAATTAAGTGTAATAATGTGTTATCTACATATCTGTATGTGTTGGAAGTCGACCTAAAAGTTTTTTTATGCCAGTGAGCCTTTACACAAAATGGCTGCTCAATTTGCAGTGGCTGCTCAGTTCAAAAAGACCAAGTTTCCATTTTGCCATGTGCATTGTACTTGAATTTTATAATTTTAGGGTGAAAAAATATTGGTGCTCAAAAAGAGATTCCGTGAAGAGGCAGTTCATACAGGCCCAGACGTACCCGATTCTGGAGTGGCCCCCGATGCTGCTTCTTTGCAGTCAAGTTCCAGTCGAGAAGGTTCCGTTGTTTCCATGGATTCCGTAAGCTCATCAGTGGCTCCCCCTAATGGTGACCAATCTGGGGGGTCATCTCATGAATCATCGGTAAGTAATAATACCATTTGTTCTCATTGAAATTAATTCATAATCATAGTGCAGTAAGAAATTATAGTATTTGAACAATTAAGATTAACCCATACTCACTTACCAGTTTGATCTTCATAGATGAGGTTGGCCATGCTTCAGTTAAGCTTTATACAGATGGGTTATGTTCATTAATAGTAATATCTTATTATTTAGGTTCACAATTTCCTTTCCCACCAGCTACCTTAATATGTTTGTTAGTCCCCTGTCTCACCAGCTACCATAATATGTTTGTTCGTCCCCTGTCCCACCATCTACCTTAATATGTTTGTTAGTCCCCTGTCTCACCAGCTACCTTAATATGTTTGTTAGTCCCCTGTCTCACCAGCTACCTTAATATGTTTGTTAGTCCCCTGTCTCACCAGCTACCTTAATATGTTTGTTAGTCCACTGTCTCACCAGCTACCTTAATTATGTTTGTTAGTCCCCTGTCTCACCAGCTACCTTAATATGTTTGTTAGTCCCCTGTCTCACCAGCTACCTTAATATGTTTGTTAGTCCCCTGTCTCACCAGCTACCTTAATATGTTTGTTAGTCCCCTGTCTCACCAGCTACCTTAATATGTTTGTTAGTCCCCTGTCCCACCATCTACCTTAATATGTTTGTTAGTCCCCTGTCTCACCAGCTACCTTAATATGTTTGTTAGTCCCCTGCATCACCATCTACCTTAATATGTTTCTTAGTCCCCTGTCTCACCAGCTACCTTAATATGTTTGTTAGTCCCCTGTCTCACCAGCTACCTTAATATGTTTGTTAGTCCCCTGTCTCACCAGCTACCTTAATATGTTTGTTAGTCCCCTGTCTCACCAGCTACCTTAATATGTTTGTTAGTCCCCTGTCCCACCATCTACCTTAATATGTTTGTTAGTCCCCTGTCTCACCAGCTACCTTAATATGTTTGTTAGTCCCCTGTCTCACCAGCTACCTTAATATGTTTGTTAGTCCCCTGTCTCACCAGCTACCTTAATATGTTTGTTAGTCCCCTGTCTCACCAGCTACCTTAATATGTTTGTTAGTCCCCTGTCTCACCAGCTACCTTAATATGTTTGTTAGTCCCCTGTCTCACCAGCTACCTTAATATGTTTGTTAGTTCCCTGTCTCACCAGCTACCTTAATTATGTTTGTTAGTCCCCTGTCTCACCAGCTACCTTAATATGTTTGTCAGTCCCCTGTCTCACCAGCTGCCTTAATATGTTTGTTAGTCCCCTGTCTCACCAGCTACCTTAATATGTTTGTTAGTCCACTGTCTCACCAGCTACCTTAATTATGTTTGTTAGTCCCCTGTCTCACCATCTACCTTAATATGTTTGTTAGTCCCCTTTCTCACCAGCTATCTTAATATGTTTGTTAGTCCCCTGTCTCACCAGCTACCTTAATTATGTTTGTTAGTCCCCTGTCTCACCATCTACCTTAATATGTTTGTTAGTCCCCTTTCTCACCAGCTACCTTAATATGTTTGTTAGTCCCCTGTCTCACCAGCTACCTTAATTATGTTTGTTAGCACTGGAGACAATTGCTATTGTCTAATCTCTGCCATTGTTCTCGGAGTGTCAACGCTTTTGTGTTGTAGTATGTCATAAACTATGCTTAGATCCCCACTATTTACCTTACAGTGGCACATCTTACATTTTCTGTGGCCTTGTGTGTATTCACTTAATTAGCTGTCTAATTATGACTTGCTTACATGATATTTATGGTTTATGGTCTTGGGTCTGTATGACCCCAAACATGGTTTAATCCACCCCTGGGTTCATATTTAAATGTTTAAACAAGTTTTTCAGGACCTGCTTGTTTCCGGCTTGGTAACTTAATGGCTGACTTAATTGTCCCGTAAAAAAGAGACAATACAAATAGTCATATGGTATAAATGCTTTCAAAAAATTTCACATTATTTGTACAATTTCACTCATTTCAATCTTCATTATATAGAGTGTTCGATCTTGAGCTATCTTTTTTAAATCATTTTTATGTAATTCATAGGTTTTAAGAATTTATTTTAACCTTGTTTGTTTGTGGCCTTATATGTCACATGATAGACATGACCATATTTGGATGTTTTTGCTGAGGAAAGGGTAATATGGATGCCTACCTATGACATTCAATTAGTTCTTAATGTTTTTAATTCGAATCTACAAGCTAAATAGGATTACTGACATAGAGTACCCTTGGAGAACACCTACATGTCTGAATTAAAGTTGCCTAATTTTTTCAAAATATTTTTATCTAAATCATTGTATCTATTAATCAACTTGTTAAATATACTGAAATGGCTGTTCTCTTAAGATTCTTTAACTTTTTCATGTTTTTTCATGGTGATGTTTATGAAAATGAAACTTGATTGCATTAAGGGGATAGGTATGTTTTACAATGTTAGGGTCTCACCTCTTATTGTTCCGACATGGAACTTAGTTAACATACTTATTGCCTAATATGGATTTATAGCTGATAAAGCGACATAGCATCTTCTCATAAGAAGGGGTCTTCTATGGAGTATACATGACATGGCAGTGAAACTTTAATCAGCAATGGAACGTGATGCTGTTCTTTTTCAACAGGAGGTATTCTTTCTCAACTGTGGGTTAAAATTAGTATAATGCCTAAAAAAGTTGGGGTTTGCATCGCTACGTTTTATCCTTTGTTAATTTTCCAATGTGGCAATGGCTCCAACTCCCATTAGGAAAAATATCATGGTATATGCCAAAATCGCTATTTTTGAGAATTTGTCATAAAAATGGCCACTTGCATGCTTGTCTGAAGGAGGGGGGATGGGTGCTACTGCACACCCATTTGAGCCAATTGAAAGTTAATTTTTTCGTTCATGGTATTGAGGAGAAGGAGACTTAGAATAGAACTATGTGCTCAAGCGAAATAGGTGAAGAGGCTGTTTTTAAGATGTACACATATTATCCTCCCTGGCATATCCACCTCTGAAAAATCCCAGGTACACCTCTGAGGGGCTACTATTTTAAACTGCATTTTTAATTGTACCTGCTCTGGAGTTTTGAAAAATGAGAGTTTTATTTCGGTTTGGGAAAACACAGAAATACAACCAAAGAATCTGTAGAAAACTAATAAAGTATTCTCTATTTCAGAAGCTAATCTTACAGATCATGTGAAATGAATATATTAAATTGACGACAATAGAATAATCAAAATGAATTGCCACAATATTACTCGAAGTTTCTTTCGAATCTCTTGCCTCTACAAGATATAATGTCATTAACAAAAAAGATCCTTGTCAAATATTTTGTATAACAAGAACTTTTATTAAAGTGTGCATTAATATTCAGTCTCCATATTCACAAAATGGAAACTTTTCTTTATGAAGTATGTCTAGTCTTTTGAACCATTCTAGACGTATGTTTGTTTCATAGATATAAGGTTGATCATCTTCGAAAAATATTTTGGAAGATTAGTTGAACTTTATGTCTGACATAATAACTGAGATGTTCTGAGTCAGAGTCTCAAAGAAATGATGTTAAAACTGATGTACGACCTTTGCTCTCCATAAATGATCGTTGTAATTAAGATGGATCACATGTAGTCCCAGGGCAATAGTTTTACTGGCTTTTCGTTACACTTCCCCCTCCCTAGGAGTTAATAAATCGTCCTCGGCGCCTCTCCCTAATGATTCCTTTCTAATAAGCTATCCGCCACATACGACACTAGAATAATAAGAAAACTCTTAATAGCTTAATGTGATTGATATAAGGCCTGAACTCCGGGAATTAGCGACATATTTCACAGAAACTCGTAGCATTCTTGTCGGAAGAACAGTAAATTTGACCATAGGGATATAAAGGTTGTCATATTGGCTAATTTACTAGAGCATAAATGATTTGAAAACTCTTGTGGGGTCGAATGTAAGATATAATTTTATAATGGTGACAAATTCGAATCGGCCCCTTAGTAATACAAGAAGGTATTAATGTGTGCCTTGTGTCATACAACCAATGACGATTCAATCAATGCATCATAAATCATAATAAACGTTAAATATTCGGCCTTTGAGAATTTGTTTAGTTGTTAATTCAAGTCTTGGAATCAGCAGTACAGTTATCGGGGGATTCGGAATTATTTGTACAGCGATCTGTTATAATCATAAATATCAGTGAATGTTTCGCACATCTTCATGAATACAAATTGTGACTTTCTAACCACTGGATAGCATAAGTGCATTTATAGCAGATATTGATATTAATAAAAACATATTGCATTGTTTCTGTTCGAATTGATGCACAATAAGCAACATTAGAAAACAGATATTACATTCTGCCTCAGTTAGGCGGAATGTGACTTTATCAACAAGTTTAAAGTTAAATTAGTCCTTTTCAAATTTTCCTATCAAGATGTTTTAAAGGAAAATTATATTAATGTTCGTGTTTAGTCCTACTTGTGAGAGATTTCCAAAATATAAGAGAGAGCCCAAATATGAAGGAGTACCACATATATGAAACAGAACATATAAGATATAAGACCATATATACAAAACATGTGAGAGTACCAAATGTGAGAAAGTACCCAAGATATGAGAAAGTATCAAACATATGAGAGAGTACCAAACATATGAGGAAGAACCAAAATAGAGTGTAACAAACATATGAGAAAGTACCAAATAGGAGAGAGTACCAAACATATGAGGGAGTACCAAATATGAGAGTACTAAACATATGAGAAAGTACCCAACATATGAGAGAGTACCAAACATATGAGAAAGTACCCAACATATGAGAGAGTACCCAACATATGAGAAAGTATCAAACATATGAGAAAGTACCCAACATATGAGAGAGTACCCAACATATGAGAAAGTATCAAACATATGAGAAAGTACCCAACATATGAGAGAGTACCCAACATATGAGAAAGTATCAAACATATGAGAAAGTACCCAACATATGAGAGAGTACCCAACATATGAGAAAGTATCAAACATGAGTACCAAACATGTGAGAGTATCAAATATGAGAGAATACCAAACATATGAGAAAGAACCAAACATATGGGAGGGCACCAAACAAGTTAATGAAAAATTACCATATAATATATTTTCAAACAAATGAAAACATCAATGAATCAACGATTTCCAAGATGAAGCAATAAAAGTGAAATCTTTCATATAATTGGTAAAAGCAATCAAAGACTCTGGCAAATTGTCTTTTAATTCAACTCCCCATGGGTGCGTATGAAAGACGCCCAGGAATTAAGTAAAGCAACTGATATGATAATTATGTGAAATAGATCCATTAATTGAGAAATTGACTGTCAATGAACGGTCTGTCAGTGCCTTGGGCTTGCAAAATATTCTTTCTTCATTAGTGGTTAATATGATATTGTTAAATGATATTTATTAACTTTATAAATGATCCTTAACTTTAGAAAAAGAAAACGTTAAGTGGCCTCAAAACATTTTTCAAAACTTTTTTCTACAGATTTTTCATTCACAAATATTGTCAATAAAATGGTGTATATCAATGTTGATATTTTAAAAAATTATCTCCAGCTTATCATTTACTGCATAAATGACTGTGATTATATTTAGACAAATTAACAAAACTTGCTGAAGTATAGTTATTAACTGCAAAAATCAAGCAGCAAACATGTGTTTTCTGTACAGATAGGAAATGAAAATGTTAGCAATTTGGACAATTTCCTTAAGGGGTAACCTGGCAATTGCTCCTGCCCTATGGGTCAAGACCATACAGGTGTTTTGTCTTTAGTTTAATTAAAATGAGGAACAGTTGTGCATTTACTGCATTATTGGAGGGTTGTATCAAAAGTTATAATCCTTTATGGTTCCAGGCTGGTAGCCAGCTTTTTCCAGGGGAGGGCTTCACTTTTCAAAAGTCCAAGGCAATAATGGGTCAAAATCACTTGAAAAGTGCTCAGAATGGTGAAAAACTGCACGATTTTGAAAGAATTTTTGAACCTCCTGAGCTCCCCCTGGCTATTGGCCTAAATTCTTAACATTCTGATGAACTAGACCCCTGCTTAGCTGCGCAGAAGGCTTTGGTGAAAGAGTGGGAACTGTAGATACCTAAGCTAAAACTAAGGACGAAGTGAAATTTATAAATGTATATAAAAAAGAAATTCGCTCAATTGCCTTGTGTTTATTCCCAGCAACTGTGTATTAATTTTAAGATTAGGTAAAGTGTTCCAACCCTCGTTTGACCAATCATCATTTGAGACATCCCATAATGCTTAGGGGCATTAAAGACGCAGCCTTGTCCACTTACGGCACAACAAAAGCAACAATAGATGGAATATCTATTAAAACATTTAGTTTATGTGAACCCCTGTCAAACAGGCTCTTAGGTATACTGCTTCAAATTACCTCCAAAGTGCTGAAAATCGTCTCTTTTGTTGCGGATATTGTTCATTTTGTTCAATTTCAATTTTCATGCAATTAGCCAGATGGCTAAAATGTTGGAACAAGATTTTGGGTTAAAGTTTTGTGTATGTGCTACATATCTCGAGAGCTGAGTACAAAACATTGCGTGTAAAACATCGAGTGAAACACGAAATAGAACATGAATTATCATGTTCCTTGCCCGAAACAAAATGTCAATTTTTTTGTTGAATAGAAAATGCATTTCCGAGAAAAGTTATGCCAATCATATTCAGTAGACATCTCTAAAATTGACGAGTTGTAGATTTTATCCTTAGAGTTGGGGATCTAGCTATCTTTAAAGTATATCTTTGAAACTCTTTCAAATGATATTTGGTTGAATTTCTGTATAACTTAAACCAAAAACATTCTTTCATAGTTGTTGTTTTTTATAATTTAAAATTTAGAAATTATTGGATTTAGCTCTCATACAAGTATCTTGGTCTTGTTGATTTCTTTCCTTTTCTCTAAATTTTCTTATTTCAGAAATTTCAAAAGTTGGGATCCTTGAAACATTTACCTCGTGTGTCTGTGTGTATGTAGGGCTTAACTGATGCCTATCAGGTCCCAATGACAAAGTCCTGCCTCTGTGTCTCTCTTTTTAATTGAAATGATCAGTAAAATATACGCTTACCCTTTTTATGAAAACCCCCTCCCCTATTCAAAATCACCCGACATAATTACTTTTTAATATTCGACCACAGAACCATTCAAAATAAAATTTATTTTATATGTATTATTTATCAGATTTTTAAAACATAATTTGGTTAAAAAACAAATGTTTCTACAATGTGAAGTGTTTTGACAAGGATATAGATTACAAAATCAGATAGCAGATTAGACATTTGTTTTAGCGATTAGTTGTTTCCATTGATGCTAATCTAGGGGATTAGAAGCCTAATTGAATGAATTGTAAGAGACAATGGAGAAAGTACAAGCGCTATCAGTTGTATCTCAGAGCTCACACCGTCTCCATTATAGGCTTGTTATATCCCAATGTTGAATGATGCCAGACAAAACATTTTCTCCTGCATCTGTTTAGATCCATATAAGGAAAGGCGTCACTCTCATTTGAATTCATCATGAGATTTTGATTCTCTTACATTTTCAAAGTGATGGATATTGTCTCGACTGTTTTAACAATATTCTGTGGTGATTCCTCTAATTTGCACTGATTTTCATTTGTTTATGTACTGTAGGGGTATTCATTGTGCTTTTATACGACATACGTACATCATGAAGTAGAGTGGTAACCCTCCCTGAAAGTAAAAATTTTGCTGTAGAAAACACACATCAAACACTCATATCAAGTTGTGAAAATACTTAAATAGTAAACTTATTATTGAGTATATTGGAACCTCTCACAGATGAACACCTCTCTTTTAGATGAACACTTCTCTTACAAAAGAACACCTCTCTTAGAGAAGAACACTAAACCTCTCATACTGAAGAACACATCTCTTACTGATGAAGACTTCTTCTTTCAGATAAATTTCTCTCTTACAGAAAAACACATCTCTTACAGATGAATGCCTCCCTTATTGAAGAGCAGCCATATTACAGATGAACACTTCCTTATCGCAGACCGCTGTCTAATAAGCACCCCTTATCTTTAACAAACACCTCATAGTCATTGTGTACTAGTTTTCCATAATCTGATTCATTTACATGTATCATTGAATACAAATCATGAGAAAACTTATAATTTATTCACGATAGTTAGAAGGATATAACAATGCATGTATTTGTAACTCAACGTACCCTACCTCTGGCCATCTTATTCAATTTTCAACTATTGTGTAAAACATGATTGTTTATTGTTTTCCTAATCAAGTCACTATCACTTAATTTATTAAATGAATCATCAATGAATTGCTTAGTTGTTTTGCATTGTGTTTTTGATCACAGTATATATTGTGGATATATTTAGTAGGTCGCACACAAGGTTGCATATTGCTAGTGTTGCTTTCTATATTTCACACTGGATGTATAAATGAGGACATAGATTGTGGATATAATGAATATATACATCATGGGACTGAATGTACAGTATTCTTTATCTTTTTGTTGTATATCATATGTATTATTCAATATTTATTTTTTTGTGATTTTGATAAAATGTTGTAGCAAAAATGTAGTTGCTGATCTGAACTCTCCTGCAGGAGAAAATGGGAGATATATTTACATTTGTTAATACTGCTCCCTTATTCATTTGCATTACTTGACAAACTAATCATCAAAAACAAACAAATAATTAAACCTTTCTGCTACAAACACCACTGTAACTGATCAAAAGTGTTCAGATTTTCAGGTATTCACAGGTGTTCACATTTTGAGATTTTTCAGCAGATTGAAAAATGGGACCAAAACGTGTTCACATTGAAATTTTGATAAGACAGGTGTTCAGATATACAGGTTTTATTATATTATTATATTAATATTGTTTCTACACTGTACTTTCAGCTATCTCCTGAAGAGAGACCAGAAGACAAGAAAGAAAATTCCCCATCAGCGATGAACGTTAAAGAAAGAGCGAAACATTTGAATAAGATTGTATCTGAGACAGACATTAGTGTAAATGCTGTACAAAATAGGAGAAAGGATAGAGATAAGGTATATTAACTATTTACACTTACCAGCTTTGTTGTTGCTTAAAAATCATATTTGCTTAATTTTTTCATTGATTCATAAAATATCACAATATATTGCCTAATACTAGAGTCTATAACTGTTTCGTTTAATTTTTAAATATACAGTGGAACACCTCTAGAAGTGGAACACTGTTATTGGAACACTTTTCAGAGTCCCATAATCAACTGACTTAATGTTAAATTAACCCCTACAAGTGAAACATCTCCCAAGTGGAACACCTTTTAGAGGTTAAGTGTTCCACTTAGGGGCGGGGTCAAAATATCAATGTTCATATGGAGACAAAAGTAATTTCGTTTGGACAACAACCCCCCCACCCCCCTCTAGACGAAAGCTTAGGTCACTTCAAAAAAACATTGATTTTCGGTGACTGTCAAATGATTTGGAACCCGTGATGAGAGGCATAATCGTATCCTATTTGCCGGGTTATTATTACGGTGAATTAACACACGTTCGCAATTTAACTGCATTGAACTCTTCAAAAGGAGGAGGGAAAAGTACGGAATTTATTTGAAAAATGATCGAATTATCGTCTTTATCTACCGATATTTTGGACCTATCACACAAAAAAGCTCATGAACTATTGAAAACAAGCCTTTTTATCAGAACATAGCGCCAGAAAAAGTGGGTAAGTCCAATTATTTTTTGTATATCAGATCCGAATTATCGATGTTTTTTTGGTCAACGAAAGTGCCCAAAAACCCCCTCCCCCCTCGCGAAAGTACTTTCGTCTCCATATGAACATCGATATTTTGACCCCGCCCCTTAGGGTTTACTGTATATGAGACTACATTGCATTTTATTGTGATTATACTATACTTGTATTTTATATGAATAATCCAAAGTAGTCACCTGTGATATATAGAAAGACAAAATCAGTTGAGGGTTCAACAAGTTTCTTTTTCTAGATATTTTGTCATAAATTATATTTTATATTTGAAAATCTTGATTTATGACCAACAATTATGAACCCTTCATTTAATTTTGATTAATAAACAGTAAATCTTGCACATTTTCTCTGGAATTGAAGGTATAATTCACCTGTTTTACATTAACCCCAAATAAGTATCTTATCCCCTAAAAGACAATATAAATGTGTATTTGAACTAAAGATGGGTTCATTTTGAATGTTTATTGTATGTGGAAGATTAATAATGAAGTGAAGGTGCGACCATATGGTTACGATTAAAAATGATTGTTTTATGTCTATTGTTGAAAATATGACGATATGCTTCAGTGGATTTTATGAAGTATTTTCTGCATCGTGATCATGCATCTCTCAAGATTTCTTTTCAATGATCTTGTCATTTTTCTTATTTTGAAATTGACCTCCAGGCTATCAATGTATTTATGAATGACAACTGTAACATGTGTTTTCGTCGTAATATTTTCTTGACAAAATTCTGAAAAGTTGATAGGGGGCATCAACGATAAATCTGATTTGATGAAATAAGCGTCATAATAATGATAAAAACGAAAATTGAGAATTCATCCTGACATGTTTTAATAAAGGCACTTGGGGCAACATGTGAAAAACACAAACACACTTGAAACCCCATAATTCATAGCTTAGTATTTTGAAATTCCTCCTATAACCGAAAATAGAGTCTTTTAATACATTTGTCAGTAGAACAAGCCACAAGAGATCAAGGTAAACCAAATCCATGAAATACTCAACAATCCCACACTACAGGATCAGCACATAATTGTAGGTTTGAATTTAAGAAATCAAAAATGTCATCTTCCATATTTGACAACTTTGATTATAGTCATGATGTACCCCATCAATCAGTGGCAAGATGGGATATTTTATTAGAATCAACATTTTTAAGTCACCCTCAAAAAGAATGTCACTGAGAGAATGGTATTCTTTGTTAATTAACAAAGAAAGTTGCTACCAAGGACTCACATGAAATACTGTATCAAATCTCAACATGTATATGTTTACAGATTCAAAAAATAGTAATGGTATGATAGATTTAAAGGGGATCTAAAGGTTTGAACCTGGAATCCTTTTGAAAGGACACAAGTATTTTGTCATCTCTGGCCTAATTACCCAGCAGCACTCAGTTCATAAAACCACAATTATAATGAAATTATGAACACCATTCAACATTGTAGTGATTGCTATTAACTCGCTATCTCTGGACAACAGAAGGCTGGGTTATATAGGTCATCGAAGGTCGGGTTAGGTCGCAATTTTATCATCACCTTATTACCGTTAATGTAATTGCCCATAAGGTGAAATATTGCTGAAAATTGATGGTCATTTCACATGCAGGATATGGAATCATTATTTTGACCCTATGTCATCTTTAATTATTATTTTCTTCCGGTAAATTACTGATGATTTCCGTAATCCATATATGACTTATATTCCAATATGGTCTCAGTAAATATATTGGGAGTCCCTACATCAGCCTTTTTTACCCCGGGTCATTGTCATTGTTAAGACTTTTCTCTGAAAAATTCAAAATATTTTCACTAATCATCTGATTCAGTGATTCTGGCCTGACCCAAGGGATCGTTTTTATGTGACTCTGATAACTATAATTTGATAAGTTCTTTGTGGTTTGATTTCTATATAATTGACTATAATTTGTACACATATATGTAGCTCATTGTTTGACCAATTCTGGGCGATAACATCCCAACATTCCAATGTCATGTCCAAATTACAAAACCCCATGGAGTTTGGCTTTAAAATATTTTCATTTTTCAGAAGTTCTTTTACTTGCGAATCTGGCTGTCAACATTATTCTTCTTACACCCAAAGCTAGGACATCTACATCTTAGGATTATTTGTACATTGCTCTATTTGCTAATTTCTTCGTAATACTAGAATTAACATTTTCTATATTTTTCCGATTGCCTTCTGTTATGAAAGCAAGGCCAGCTCTACAGAGTGTGATTATATTACATCTCCCATCATCATAAAATTCAAGTAAAACGATCAGCATTCTTAAAATGATAACCACGGGGTATCTGATATATCCATCAAAATTGAAACTTTTTACAAGATGCCAGTTTTTTACATGGATAATAAAACACTATCAACAATAAAAGGAATACAATTGCAAGTCAATTAAACGTGATGGATTGAGATTTTGACGCCTGTAGCCTGTAATTAACACTGACCACTCAGATGTATTCAGATTTTCATTCAAATTTTGACAATTCCTGAGGGGTAGCAACAATTGGGAAAATCTTTTAGGCTGAACTTCATATCTTTGCTTCATTTTTTCATCATTTAAAAACAATAGAAACATTGTACTCTAAACCTCTTGCATTTTAACATCATGTGACCAAAATCAACCAATGAAAATGCTTCAAATTTGAAACTATGGTGGGACAAAACTGTCTCCTTCTTAAAATTTGAAATTTTATATACAGCCTGAAGAAGTGTGAAATTGATAAGAAAAAAGTCTCTCTCCAATTGTTACTTTTGTTATAAAAGTGAGATTCATCATTCTCTATCACAGGTCCATCTTGTATCTTCTAATCGTTGTCATCTGTATCTTTTAATGGCTAAAATAATTAATTGCTAGTTCGTTATTAAATCCATCTTGTTTTTCATTCACTGACATGCTCTAGTCTGTTCAATTCCCATATTACCAGATAAGACATCCTCATTGAAGATTTTAGACTATTACTTACAGGTAAAATACCCCTCCGGGTAGATCATTGATGATTGTTTATACTGTATTACATATAATTTTGAATACCTTGAATTTGTCAGATACTAAGATAACATTTTGTTTTGGTGATATTTCTTATTCCTAATAAGTGCAGAAATAAAATGATGTATTAAGTCAGGCAGAGTTGAATAATTGCTCTGCTTGGTTAGATATATCCACTTGTGCCACCATAAGGCATTAATCCACCAAACTACTGAGATACCTTAAGCCTATACCATCTCCAGTTCACAGATGGGGATGTCACCAATGTAATGTCCCCTGTTGTGGAACCTAGGAAACTTAGCTATTTCAGTTCTCATTAAGTAGAAGTGGTGACATATTGTTATAGTCTCATCACAACATTTTTCTGGACGGTTTGCCGTGGTTGTTATTTGGCCGTTGGTGTTTGGTGGTATCGTTTTGGGTGTTATGCCTTGTTTTATCATATGTATTGTTATATTTTCAGAGCACAGCTGATGGGGATGAGGATGGTCACCCAGGGGTTCCCATATCTGTAAGTATAAACTAAAAAGTATTTCACAATATATGTCTGCAATCTACTACATAACTTTTGAACAAGGATAGCAAAATAATCTTGGATTTCTAGCTATTTTTTATGTCTGTGTACATATACATAAACCCATGCACTTTAATTATCCCAACGAACGAAGTTCGGTAGGGATATAGTGAAGCCCTCCGTCCGTCCGTCAGTCCGTCAGTCTGTCAGTCCGTCAGTCCGTCAGTCCGTCAGTCCGTCCGTCCGTCCGTCTGTCCGTCCGGAAGATAACTCAAATATCGGTTGACGGATTTTCTTCATATTTGGTGGAAAGATGTATATTGATGAATAGTTTTACGCAAAAAATAATTTTTTCAAGATGGCCGCCGCTTTAAAAATGACGGGACTCTTTCGCAAAAATCATAAATTTTTCATTCTAAACCAAAGTAATTAATATTATTGTTTGAAATTTTGGTAATATATTCCAAACATCTATCTATTTCACATATATTCCGTGTTTTTTATCCTGACCCCCAGGGGCCATGTATGGGGGGTCAGAAAAACAGAAATTTTCGCTAATTTTTAGATCTTTCTGAAGTATAGCTTTATTATACTCACATGAAAGGCATTTAAGAGTAGATTGCAAATATTGTATCTTTTTTCTGATTCGAGCCTCGTAAAATTCAAAATGGCCGTCTAATGTACGATTTCACAATAATTTTTCGATTCCTTCAAAGTATGGCTATATAAGACTCAAATTGAAGGAATTTTGGAGTAGATCACAATTATGGTATTACTTTTCAGATTTGTACCTCAGAAAATTCAAAATGGATTTTTTCAAGATGGCTTGAATTTTCCATTCTAAACCAAAGTAATTAATATTATTGTTTGAAATTTTGGTAGTATTTTCGCAACATCTATCTATTTCACATATATTCTGTGTTTTTCATCCTGACCCCAGGGGCCGTGTATGGGGGGGGGTCAGGAAAACAGAAATTTTTGCTAATTTTTAGATCTTTCTGAAGTATAGCTTTATTATACTCAAATGAAAGGAAATTAAGAGTAGATTGTAAATATTTTATCTTTTTTCTGATTCGAACCTCGTAAAATTCAAAATGGCCGTCTAATGTACGATTTCGCAATAATTTTTCGATCCCTTCAACGTATGGCTATATAATACTCAAATTGAAGGAATTTTGGAGTAGATCACAATTATGGTATTATTTTTCAGATTTGTACCCCAGAAAATTCAAAATGGCTGCTTTGCAGGAATTCGCAATTCTAAAATCTAAATTTTAACCAAAGTAATGAGTATAATTGATTGGAATTCGGTAATTGATATTTTGTTCGTTGGGATTTGCTACTCCGCAGAGTTGCCATTATCTAGTTGTGGATAGTTATGTGCATTTTCTCCATCTTCGTTCACTTGGCTCCCGTCGGTCTGAACACAGTGAAGACCGAGCGTATAAAGATGCATTTTCTCAATTATTAATTTCACATTTAAAGATAAAAGGGTGATGTCATAGAAATAGTTTTAACTCCTATGATAACCCAAGTTGCTCATATGCTGAAGCTAGAATATGATAAATGGCTCCATCATTTAGAGGGTTAAGACATCTAGGTGTATATTTCAGTTAGGAGCCTGTAGGAGATCAATTTTCTCAACCAGTTAAGAAATTATATCCTCAACAAAAGCAGTTGTGAAGGCATTTATCATGTATTTATGTCTGTGTGTGTCCTGGGTGCTCTTACCACATAATATAGATTTAACCTTACCGTGGAGTATAATAGAAACAAAAGATGAATGTATAAATGGAGATTTTTGACAACATGAAACTAGGAGATGTGATCTGCGTTCGTAATCCAGAGAAATTCCCAAGATGTTTGATATTTTCGTTATGTGTCCTTATTAGGGCGTATTCTGTCAGGGTGCCCTGGGGCAGGGGGAGGTACACAAATTTGCTGTCGTATTCAACTAGAATGACAGGCAATAATTACTGTATGATTGCTGGCTACATATCCATGTCTTAAATTGTTATCTCTGCATGCCTTTTTCACACAATTTCTCTCAAAAACTCGAATGAACTACTATGTTTTCTTGCAGTTTTATTCAATTTAGACCATTGACTACAAGCCTGTTTACTTTATTCCTTGCAAATTTCACTCTTTGCGATATTTTGTGTTTTAAGTCACGACCCGTGTGAGATAATTCGCGTGGGTTTATACATGTGTCACTGGATCATATTATTGCCTTAACAGTCCTTCCTTGTTTACGAGACACCTTTTATTAATCGCAGCGTTTACATCCCAACATATTAGTGTTTTACACTCAAAAATGAACTTCGTTTTTTGAAATGTGAGATGTTTTTACTCTATGAATTCATGTAGTGTCAAGAGGCTCTATAGGACGGGGCAATGGATCATGTGATGGGATTTCAGCGACACTTTTATCGCATTTCACTTCTTACCTATGCTCATCTCTGTTCCCAACCCTCTCTCAAAATTTACAATTGACTTCAAGTTATTTGGGTCTTATTTCTAAGATTCTTTAAACAAGAATAGGAATTGTTGATTTTGTTACAATTTAGAGATGTTGTTCGTCAATGTTTGTGATATCAACGCTATATTGCTTATTTTTCGTGGTATTGCTCAAAGATATGACTGCTTACCTTGATTTTTTATTCAAGGGCTATACAAGACCCTAGACACAAAGTAGATCATGTTTTAACAAGTTTTCCATCATTAAAAAGGACAGGAATTAACTTGACATTTTTTATATTTTCTTCATCAATTTCCTAAAGTGCAAAACAAAAGTAAAAAGAGACAAAGTTGACATGCGATGTCCTGAATCCTGGTCGAAATTCTGCTTTAAGGGGTTTTACCCGCACCTGTATAGGAAACTCGCAATAATTCATAATTCCTAAGCATTTTTTATTCTCTTCGGTGTGCATTGAGTTTATGTAAATTGGGCAAAGTTATTTGGCATTAGATGTCCCGATGTTCCTGGTCAAAGTTGTACTTCAAGGGGTTTGATCTTCACCTGTATAAAATTTTTCATAATTTTTTTGAGTTGAATCCCTCCAGGCCCAGTTTGAGATTTTTCAGATATATGTGTGAACATTCTGCTCAATTGAGATATAGAAAATCTATATAATTCTGGTTTAGAGTGAATTTCAAGAGTTAAGACTAAACGATTTTCACAATGTCAAGGTCAATAAAAGATACAAGGTCATCTGCAAGGTCACACATTTGACGAACTCATATTATGTTATGAGTAGATGTGATCTAGATTTCCTAAGAGCTCTAATAAGAACAACAGTAACCATGATGAAATACATTACTTACTGCAGGAATGTATACTTTGACTTAACACCAACTCCAACACTGAAAACTGCTTGCTATTATAGTCTAGTACAGTCCTGGCTATATATATACAAACAGAGGGTAAAAAACATGTTAGACATGGCCAACTCCAGAGAGGATTCTCAGCTCAGAGAGACAAGATTTATCCAAGATCCTAATTACCTCAATGGAATCTCTATTACTTAATAGACAGTGAAGTAGGAAGAAATATCATCAAAGCTTGTGTTCTTCTGTCTGTCAACGAGAGTAAGAAAAACAACAGATAAATGTAGAATTGTGAAGGGGCAGGATTAGCACACTCAACATATCCCTTAAATAAAATGTCGCATGGCCAAGCATATCCCTGAAATAAAATGTCCCATGGCCCAGCATATCCCTGGGACGGAATCCCAAGAATGAAACGTCTAACAGCCCAAGATGTTCTTCGAAATATTGAAATTATCTAACAGCCCAATATTACCCTTAAATGAAACATCCCGTAGCACAGCATATCCCTAGAATAAAAGATCTATGGCCCAAGATATTCTTGAAAATGAAAATCTAACAGCCCATGATTACCCTTGAATGAAACATTCCATGGTCCAACATATCCCTTGAATCAAACATCTGAAAGCCCTTAATATTTCTCGAATCAAACATCTATCAGCCCAACATGTGCGTCAAATAAAACGAATTAAACATCTATTAGCCCCATAATAAAATGTCTACCTGGCCAACATCCATTGAATCAAAAATCCCATACCATATCCCTCAAATAAAACACCCCACGACATATTCCTTGAAAAATTGTCAAACTGCCCAGAAGTAATATGTGATTGGTCATGTTTTCTTTTCCAGTCCCATGGTCTTAATTATTAAAGGACTCCAAATAGAGTATGGTGTATGTTACATGCCATAATGAATGTTATAAAATCAAAACGTTCAAAAATCCTCGTAAACTCCCCATAACCTCTTTCCCCGAGAATATCACATACTTCATATTGTGTAAGTAGCCATTCTTAACCCTTTAAAAGGATTATCACCTCATAAACTAAATCACTCGCCAAATCTGATACAAGTTTGCTTGTTGTTGAAATACATGCTGTAAATATGAAGATGTTCCATATAAGTGCAAGATTATTTCAAAGCAGATGTTTGAACTTGAGACGTAAAACTCTTAACTCATAATTGCTTTTGTCTCTGAAAGGAGTTTTCGGAAACCAGTATTTTTTGTGAACACCTATTTAATGTAAACACCTTTTTATAATACGAACACCTTATGAATACCTCTCTCGTTTGAACTCATTTAAAATGAACATTTTTGGCAGAAATCTCTCATTGAATTTCAACTGTTTTTCTGAATATTTGGTTGCATGATTGTTTAACAATGAGTTGGATTTTAACTAGAGCATGATGCCTTTGAACTTACAAAAAGCTCAACTTCAAATCCAAACCGACACAAAACTGTTTCCTAATTAAGTTTCTGCTGTTAACATGAAAGTGAAATTATGGGACAGAAACACTTGATTAACATGATGTTTACATAGTACATACAAAACAACTTACAATTCTGTAACATTACAATAACATATAGCTCAGGAGAGGCTGCTTCCCAGCATGCACTGTTTGTAGTCACATGACTCATGTTGGGAATCTTGGAAATATACCATGTATGCACAAAGCCCAAAAGGGAAAATCCATATTGAGGAAACACATTAACAAAAAGAAATATCCAAAAGTACTGTTTGTTTAAAAAAGAAACACCAACATCCCATTTGATGATCTAACATACATGAAAAGGTTTCAAATGACCATCTTCCCACATCGTCAAACAAACCTCATGGATTGGTATCTTCAGAGGGATACACTCCTCCTATCTCCACATTTAACAAAATTTTAAAATGTTGATTTGTCTTTCACTTGATTATTAAGAAAATCAACAATATTTGCCAATGAAACCATTATTTACCGTCCTCCCCTCCACAACTATTGATAATTTGACACCATCGCTTACTCAAAGTGGAAGCAGTATGCAGATCACTCGAGATAACTTAGTTGGGCCATATTTTTTTGATATACTATATCACCTTCACAATTGTCTTGTTTTTGAGGAAGAATAGCACATTAGATCATACTGCATATCTGAAGATGAACTAACTCTCTTTGTAGAAGTGTGTGGAGTAATCTTGGTCAGGGAACAGAGATAGATGAGAGTTCTAAGTGTATGAGATCACCTTTTCTGGGCCAGACCTCCTCATTTGTAGACATTTGTCTGCTTTCAATCATGTCCAAAGACTTGATTGTATTTTATACCACATGCAATATCTTGATTGACAAGGCCTTAGTTGCCCCAACACCTTGGAAGTCAAAGATAACATGCAAACCAAATTGAAAAGAATGTTAGGTGAGCTTGAAGTCATGGTCATCTGTATCCTCTCTAAGGAGCCGTTCTACCCATTTTCTCCCCCTTTATCAGGTTCTCTCCCTTCATTTTTTGGGGTATCATTGTCTTTAATGCCCTATGGGTGGGTGGCATTGAACAGCCTCAAGTTCTTAGAAGACCTTTTTGATTTGAATTGTATATTTGGACATCTTCTTGTAAATATCATACTCTCTTGCTTGCTTATGTCCAGTATTTTTCAGTGTTTAGGTAAATATAATATTGTGACTATGGAAAGGTGCCTTATTATACTACTCATGATTAAAGAGAAAGTAGCCAAAGTAACAGCGAAAAGTGAAAAATTAGCAACGGCTGTATCATTCACCTCTCAATCTGCGTCTTCCTCTGTTCCACCCACAGTATGAAAAACTAGTAAAACTTGTAGCCAATTACTAATTGTCCATAGATCATCAACTCCTAAAAGTTGTTAACCTTCATAATGATGTACTCGATATCACTCAATTTTCCTCAAAATTGGTCAAAAAAGAGTAGAAGTATAATGACTACAATGCAATATGTTTTATAGAAAACTCCTGGATGTAAGATATGATTTGAAGCTAGAATTTGAGAGAAATTGTTGGAATAGGCAATGATAGATATGTTGATTCTGCAGAGATGGGTTACCCAAATGATGATGTATTTTCGTGGTTTCGGGAACTGACACTCGGAAGGAAGACAAATTATGTAAAACTGGGCTTGCAACTGTTACCTTTTTGTAAAAAGCATGTCTTACAATCCCAGCATTCTTGGTGCCAAAACACGGAATCCCTATATCTGATTGGATGATTCAAAGCATGGGGATTGTCTTTGTGGAGTTCCTGTGTTTGAGTGATTATTTACACCAATGTTGAAAAACATAAATATGTACCTATGGCAACGGTTTAATCAAACAACTCATTTTTCTGAAAATGCAACTGCAATATTTTAGTCAGGTTGACAGAGGGTTAATTAAAAAATACATAATTCAGATAATGTACAAACAAATCATTTTTCAGTCGCTCATGTCTTTTTCAATATTTTCATAATTTTGTAACTTTTGCTAAAATCAGTTCTTTCTGATATAAGCACATTTGCTGAATGTAGTCGTGCATTTGTAGTAGTTAATGTATTTTGTGATCTACTTTAACGAGGGCATGCTGGTTCTGAAGTTAACATCGAAAATCGCTGGCAGGGTTCGAAAGTTAAGACAAATTGATGGGCAATAATTTGTAATGAGTTGTTTTTCAGTATGTAGAACAGAGTTTAAGACACTCAGCAACAAGTTTAAATCATCAGTCTCAGCACAAGTGTAGGCTGCTGTGTTTTATAGCCAAAATACATGAAGTCCATAGCAGACGGCGTTTGGGGGTGATTCTTATCATTTCATGTTTTCTCTTGAAATAATTGGAAGAGGTGTTGTATTTTCTTACATTTCTATACAATTTTGAATATAGGCTACACATCTATATGAATAAAATTTATGAGATATCATTTTAAAATACAGTATTTCAAAAAAGAAAACACACCCATTATTTATTTTTGTGAAGGTTTGGAGAAATACAAGCAATAATTGTTGAGGAAGATTAACTGATGTGGTAATTAAGAGTAAATGTTGTCTGTTGTTGCCTGTTGAAAGTATCTGTGTGGTCTCTGACTCTATATACTTTATGACTCCAGGTAAATTGTAATCAGTTTGTTAAAATGCTCTTGGGAATTTTCATTTAGACTTCAAGTTTATTTTATGTGTTACACCCTTGCCTAAACATTGGTATTGAAATGAACTCATTGTTCTCTCGTACTTTTGTATAATTTGAGGTGTTAGGAACATGCCTGTCTTACACTGTTTTCCTTCCTTGTTTCCATTCCTTTCTAATCTAAGACCTCAGAACCCATCTTGGTTGTAGGTTCCTCATTTAATGTTTTACATTCATAGACCTAAAGGACCTGGATTTCAGCTCTAGTCTTGCTTCATCTCTCTGGACCCCCTTCTGTATCTTCTTCAACACCAACACTTATGTGAGGAGGGGTGTAGTGGGGGCAGGGGGGGGGGGGTGGCAGTGGCAGGGGTGTCACAAGACTTTCTCTTTCAATTCTTACCTCTCACAAACATGTACTTTATGTCATACCAGAAATTTCTGAATACATGTTCTGGATTCTGGATTGTTCAGCACCCCCTCCCTTTGCCATATTTGTCCCTCAGTCCCAACTTAGATGTTCTATCTTCCCTGCTTTGTTCTTGTATCAGGAAAATTATCAGCACAATTAAGAATGTTTACATGTTAAACATTGTGTTAAACATATATCCCTCTGTAGTTAGGATTTTCCAGTAACCATTATCATTGCAATAACACCTGAATTATCATTACAATAACACCTGAGTTTAATTCAATTAACCACGTGGCTCCTGAAATATCCGGTGAAATAACCAAAGTCATATGTTTGTGTATGTGTTGCAACCTTATGCCACTTGTTACGGATAAAACAAACATATCTATAATGTAATTATGATGATAATCAACAATAAAGGATCAGTAGGGACCAATTGGTGTCTAGCTAATTTACAGGCCCACCAGGATTTTGGGGCTGGAACAGTTTAGTTTTTATACATTTTAACCCATTTGATTTATTTTCACTTTCCTCACCCTTGAGGTAAGGGCTTATTAGGTACCATTTTTTTATGTACATATACAAATCTTTGAACACTTCATGGCTTGCTTTGTTTACCAAATTGAAACAACTGGAATTAGACATGGCATTAATTCGAAAGATCCTTCATATATTATCCCCATTATTGAAAAAGCATGGCTTGAAACCAGTAGGGAAATTTACGATTACACCAGACCTTTGAGCTAGACCAGAATTTGACCACTTTGTACTCAGAATATACTGGGAAATTATTGGTTACTAGAAATTAACCTAGAAACAGGCAATTTTGGTAAAAACATGAAGAGATTGAATGAAACCAATTGGCTGCAGATCTCTACCCTCAAATGTATCAAGTTCACCATAATCAGGGGAGGGTTATTAGTGTGTGTTGTTGGAACACCATGTGTCTGAGTTGTTATACAACCAATTAACAAAACAAGACACTGGCCAAGATAACAAACCCCCTGATAATCAACCCCTAGTTCCATGATGGTCAGTCTTTCATCTTGTTGCTGTATCTATTCTTGTGTTTATAAAGACTCTGAGTCAATAGAAAGTAGAATACATTAAATGTATCAGTACTGTCAACAGCGAGGGGAAACTATAGATGCATGGGAATCGTGCAAGAATAGAGGATGGTTTCTGGATTATTGACGTTTGCTGATAAATTAAATTCAGTTTTATAGTTTAGCCCCCTCCCTTCCTCCTTAGACCACATTTTAAAAATGTTTACTTGAATTTTTCAAAAAATCAACATTTCTCACTAATGAAATCATCATTCACCCTTTAACCTTAGAAATTTATTTTGTACTTCCACAACTGATAACAACTGAACACCATTCCTAAATGCGGATTCTCATTCATGTTGCATCCTCATGTATTACTGCACCCACTTGAGATTTTAAAAAGATGCTTACACCCACCTGAGAATCCATTTGAACCCACTTGAAAATGAGAAAAACCATGAAAATAGGAGTATTTTAACAAAATTGGGTTTCAAATTATGAAAATAATAATTTTGCGCCACTATCAAAAAAAATCCTGGGGAGATCACTGATTTCATTTAAGTTATGTTTTAATGTATTTCTAGTTAAATGCCACAGAGAGAGAATGGCTGATCCTCTCCTCCAGTGCTGACTATCAACCTATGGCCAAACTACTCAACACCAATCACCGCCTTGCAAAGAAAAGGGTGAGTCTCAGGGTTATACTATACTTTTAGTTAAGTATCCTGAACATGAAAGAATAGTACAAAGGACAGATATAATATGTTTTATAATATGATTACTATCATATTATTATGTCACCATCACAAGTGGTGACATATTTATAAAGTATCCAGCATTTTTGTGGATGGTGTTTGGCAGATGATGTTCTGCATTTGGAGTTTGCTGTCTGTAACAAATGGCCAGTTGTGACATTTTGCTTGTTAATGCCTTTGTAGCATTATTATGTGCCTATTCCCTCCCCTTGAACCACATACATCAACCCCATCCCTTTATACACCTTTCTCTACCCATCCCTTTATAGCTGTACCCCCTTCTTCTATGCCCACTATTTTTACCTCCTACTTCAACCCCCTTTGTACCTCTCTTTGTACCCCCTACTGTATACATATCGTTAATATGGCATTCTGATACTCAAAGCATCTTTCTGTTTCACCTGAAACATCTCAGGGCTGAGAAGAAATGAGATGTCATGGTTTATCATGATGTTAATATGGAGTTAAACATTGGAACTCTTCTTGACATTCATTTACCCCTTCCCTTTTTTACCCTCAATTGATATTCCTGTTGATGACATTAACATAACAAATCAATTAAAATCTTCATTTTGACCCTTCATCTATCAGTCACATAGTCATTATAGTGGCATTTTGACAGTTTTTCTCAAAAAAGTTACGAGAAGTTTCTCAAATTACATATGTTTTATTGTTATATGCTTTCATTTGCTCTCAATGGTTCATCTTGCTTTTAATGAACAAACAAGCCCACCGTGATGTTCGACTTTTGAAAATTAGTTATAAATTGTAAATATTTTCCTTAAGTGGCTATGAACAGGAGACCCTTTGTTTATAAATGATGTACAAATGTCAGTCTATTGAACAAATCAAACATTTGATAGCATTCCCAAAACATAAATAAATTCTTTCAAGATCTGATCCCTATCATGTATGATTTATTAAAAGTAAAACTACTCTTTTCTCAATGTATTGTAGGTTATCATTAAAGTATATGTTCATGCTTTTAATAGTCCATTAAAGATGGGACTTTTGACAATAATCAGAAGTATGTGATTGAAATATATATGATTTTATGACGGCAAATATCGCTATAGCCTTATTAATGGTTCCTGTCGCAACGCCCTCTTTTGAAAAAAATAGTAAGACGCCCATTCAAAAATATTATAATGTTCAATCGATTTATTGCAAATTTTTGTGAAAATCAGATAATCAATGAGGAATTAACGTGAAGTTTTGTTGCAGTTTCTATCAAGAAATGTAAAATGTCAGAAAAGCTTGAGTTTATTAGAAAAATGAAGATTTTGGGTGGATTTGCAGTTTTGCAATGGTAGCCAGGTCAAAAGTCGTCATAATTTTGATTAAAGGTTGATTCAAGAAATAATGTATTCTTCATGTTTTACAGTGCGATAACATCTGAAAATATGTTGATAACATCAGACTCCTTTCAAAATATTTCCTACAATTTCTCCACTTTCTCCATCCCCTCCTCAAAATTGAAAAAAACATCCAGCATTTTTATGAATTTCACGAAGCATACATCGATTTAGGTGACTGTGATTTTAAGTTTTCAGTCTTGTTATTTGTTATCTTCGAGTTAAAATGATAAAATCGGGATGTTTTTGGCGGGCGCCTAATGTCGATAATATCAGGTAAATAGAAGTGAACCAGTAGAACACATGATTTTGTAGCCATGGTTAGTATCTCCTGTCGCCCAAGTCTCACGCCTTTTGTTAAAACGTCAAAATCAGTTTTGACAAAATCCATGTCTAATTTACCCCTATTTTTATACACTATGGAGCGGTTGTTTATTGTATAACTGCTTTATGCCTTAATTATGGCCTTACTGTCTGGGACTTGACATACATATGAATCTAGAATGTCAAATTTCATGTTCGTTTTGCCCTTTTCTGACCCCAGTTGTCCATTGAATGATCTAATTAATAAAGATCGTAAGAACAAATGTGTTTTGTTTCGAAGAACTTGAGCATTCATTTTTGGAAAAAATTAGGCATTTTGCTCAAGATTAAGATCATTAAAAACGAAATTTAATTTGAACCTTGGCAAACAGGATGAAATAAACATATTTATTATATTATTTAAATGCCATTGCTGCAAAACTAGTACTACTTATTCCATAATTTTCCCCTTTATACCTGCAGAAATTGATGCTTACAGTAGAATATAAAATTCAATCAGTTAAAAAAATGTTCAAAACTTTCATTTTTTGTTGATAAGCTGTTAAGTCAATTTTAATGAACTACAGAATTGTATCGCAACTGGACATAAAAATAATATTTGTGTTTTGAGTACAGAGTTAACATTGCATGTCTTAAACAGAAGGAGACCCCATAAAATCACTAAAAAATCAGAATGATTAATTATCCTTTTTTGAATCGGGATCAAAGATTCTATTAATTTTCATGCGAACAATGCTGATAGCCCATGAAAAATATTCCCAGTATTTTACAATTATTTTATAAATTCTACAATAAAGTATAAATAAATTAAACATTTATGTTATTTATAGATAACATAGATTATGTATCTCCATATTTGGTTTGTTTTCTCTTAACTATTTCACTACTTTTCTCTGTATTTCGCATTAAAGGTGTATTATATTTTGCATGGGTAATGACTCGTGCGTTACATATGTATGCAGAGCGGGTGTGATTTGTGACAGAATCCATTAGATAAATCTATAACAGATTTTAATAATCCCACTTTTCATTAGCAATTACCTCATAAACTAGTTTTCAAAATATCTGTTTTCTTGTGTGCGTGCAGTTTTACCTTCAGTATAGTCATTTTCACGTACATCCGATTTGTGCCTTCAAATTCAGTATGTCATCCTTTGATTTTCTCAAATATACATTAAAAAGAGACTACCGTATTCTCTCTAATGAGTGCATGTACTCTCTAAATTAAAATTTAAAAGAGTGCGATATTGAGAGATTCAAATAAGCACACATACAAAAAATGTAGAAAAGAAATTTTGGCAATAATCTTTTTAGTTGTTATCACTAAGGTTTACATACTCTACAGCTCCTGTATTTCTTACTCTGCATTGAATATGATCATCAATCGATATCTTGTTATGCAGTAAATAATCAAAATTAATGCATTAAACTTCGATTTTTCTTGAGACTATGTTCAATAGAGAGAATACGGTAATCTATATTATTGCATTTAGGAGAAAGTCACATAGAGTATTTTGAACTTGTCATTATATTTGTTTTTAGGGGTTTCCTTCAGTAATTCCTTATACCAAGTATTAAAACAGGATCTCCATCACAAAATCTTGAACTATTTCTATCAAACAACTTTCAGATAACATTAAACAGATAATCTTTTTACTTTGACTATATTGATTATAGGGATTTCTTTTAGTATTGTGTTTACCCAAAATATGACCAATCAAGCTTTTCTGCAAAAAAATCCTATGTCCACAGTTTATTAAACATTGTTCATAGAATACAATAACAAAGTTAGAGATACAGTTGTTTAGTATAACACGAATCAAACAGATCTCTTTCAAAACGACATCTCTTGAAATCTTTTCAAACTCCGTATCTGTTAATTGGAAAACGCTGAAATGTTTTCATAGCATTGTCTCGATGGTTTTCCATGCACAAAATTAAGCTAACCTCACTAACTAAGCAGTTCACAATCAGATATTGATAGCTATGAAATTAAATGTGTTTGATATGATAGCGAAGTTGCTCATGTCGTTGAGACAAAGGATCAAACGGTTCACAAGAAATCAACTGAAATTGAGCTGTTCTGACTAATAAACTGTTCTGTATTATAGAATAAGGCTTATTTGATACATAGTATAGATGACTGGCAGATTGAATTTTGGTTTGTAAAAGGATATTGTAATAAAAGTCAACCACTGAAATAACAATAAAACCCCTATAAATCATGTTAACATTAAAGTCAAATGTTTTTGGGTTGGTTTCAACATTGCATACATGTGTTAGCTCATTGTTGATGTTTTGTGATGATTTTATACTGTTAATATTGATTTGTGCCTTTCAAATGTTGACCTTTGTCCTGTTTTATATTACATAATGTTAGGGCTCTTTAAAGAGATATTGGTTGTGTTCTTAGCAATATTATTGGGAGATTTAATAAAATACAAATGGTCGTTATACGAGGGGTGACCAAAAAGTAATGAACACTTTTCACACGGATGCACATAGAATTTAGACAAATGTTAAAGTATGTATGAGAATATCTGTCAATCACTTTTTGAAAGCACTTATTTTGTATTAGTATTCCACAGGGGTTTGATTTCCTGAGAGGGGCTCTAACAAATTCAATTCTTTACAAATTTGAATTAAAAAATCTTGAAATTAGATGGGTTTCTGTACATGTTATTTCAGATAGGCATCAGTTGTTAGCTTATAATTCTCTAGTTTCTATAACTAACCCAATGTATCTTTTTCTTTCATGTGCCGACTTTGGATTTGGGATGAATATCAAATAGGATTTTACATCGGTGAGTATGCGGACCTTGCAGATAAAACAACCAAACGTCGTAAATTTTGACCATTTTCGGTCTGAAATTTCAGAAATAATGAGATTCTTGTGTTTAGATACATTTTCTTGGATTTTCGATTTTTGTAGTTTTTTGAATCACTTATTTTTGAGGGCTTTGGGGAGAAAAAGGGCATCTGCAAGATTGACACTGAATAAGACATCATAGATGACTGTATGATATCTATTGAATTATATTTATTGATGTTAAATTCTAAATTCAACTTTATCAGTTGGAGTCTTTTGATAGTAACAAAATATCTAAACAAACCCCTGTATAAGATCAGAATCTCTAATAAACATTACTTTAATAATGTTCACAATGAAATCAAGTGAAAAATGAAATATTCAATATTGGACGCTGTATTCATGATTTTGTAAATTAATTATTTTTGGAATCAGTTTTTTGTCTGATGTTGAATTCCGATGTTCTCTTAAGTATAACAAAAACATGGAATGTGTATGGTTGAAAAAAGATGGCTTTTGAAATGTAAAAACAATTTTGTTTTTGAAAAATGAATCATCATCAGCAGAACTTCTTACAGGTTGCAGGTAAACGCTTGATGCAATTTATCATCTGAAAAAAGAAAAAAAAACATCGATTGAAAAGCGATCTCTGGGCTCCCTTGATGAAGTTACCTGGCAAATTTTTGCCACCATTTTTTTTTCAAAATACCAAACCAAAAAGGAGATACAGAAAAATGTTTTATCAATTTTCCTTGATTTTATAAGGAATCATATACTTGTATGTAAAAGCTTGGGCTCTTGGTGTAGATGTTTTACGAATTTTATTTTGTAAGATGAGGACAATTTCTTGATGTAACTTCATATAACAGCTGCACAGTTTAGAAATCTCTTGAAAAACTATTCTCATTTCAAAAGATAAATTAAAAAAATTGTTATTAAATTGGAAAATAGAAAATGTGTTATAAAAAAAATCTTTGATGAATTGTTCTTAAGCAGCATCTTGTAATTGCCCCTTCAAATCTGAAATTACGTTTTAATGAATATTTTAATATCCGTGTTTGTATACTTTAATGAATAAAAGACACAATATTTCTCATAATTAGACAACTGTTTTCCAGATCGAAATCATGTCACTATTCTTCGGAGTCAAGCCATGTGATGTCATTATTCCATCAAACCTGACACAAGATTGTTCTCAAAACAAACCCAAAATTTGAGCTCAAATTCTAATCATGAATTTGAATTCTATGATAACAAAAGCGGTCCCTAAGTTCAACAGCCATTGAAAAACCTGAAAGTTAATTTGAAGTTAAATTCTGGAGATATTATGATTTCCTCAACCAGATGGTGAAGTTTGTTTTACCTTTCATAATATTTCTTGCTAGAACATGTTTTTTTATTCAAATCTCAAAGAATAGAGGAATAAAGAAGGAATCATTTAACAGGAATGTGGTTTATCATACTTAAATTGAAAATATGTCAAGAAATCAGGTGTAGGGTCGTAATTGTAGAGGAAATAAATTAAAATACACGACTTCGATATGAAATTTTTTAAATGGTCTTTTGATGCATATTCTTGCCTAAAAAACTCATAATTTATAAATTTCTTTTGACAAAAATTTTCCAGAAAAAAAGTTTTTCACTTTCTCATTTCATTCACTAAAGTAAGAACGACCCAACAGTTCAATAATTCTTCATGGGAAAAATGAAATATTCTGAACTGGGCCTGATGTATTGACGGAAGGGTGCTTATAATGATGCGTCATATGTTCTATACAATCCATGCCAACATCTCTAAGTGGGCGGAGTTACAAAAGAGGAGGAGTTGAAAAACTGACTGAAATGTCCGCCTAAAATCAAATTAAAAATTGAAAGCTTAATTGATATGGAATACATTGTATTCAAGTTTGGCCATATATTGTCATAAATTCTGGGACCTCATCTTGTCTAAAGCAATGAAATGGACATGATGTTATAAAGATTCTATTTGAAATATATCACTTCCATTCATTGCTTTTGTTGTCTTTTTGTAAGAAAAACATAAAGGGTAAACTTTGCAAGGGTGAATTGTATCAAAATGCTATAATGCACAGAATCCATCTGCATTGATGAAGCTTTTGTATGTGTAGCTTATACATGTAATATATGATACACCATATATGAACAGAGAAATTTAAAGGTACAATTTGTACATTTATTCAAAAGATGAATATAAAAGAAAGTTGGGCTGAATGTTATTTTAAAATCCTGGTTTTAAAGACTTACAATAGTAACATTTCCATAGTATATGTGGTAGTACATGTACAGATGGGTCAATGCCCTTTTTATTTTTCGATTGATTCATCAATTCAAAATTACCTACCTCAGAAAATCTCATATAAGAAAATATCAATGCTATAATTGATTTTTTTACATATATCCACATATGTTTTTATTTATATTCATGATAGTTATCTTCAATTGTTTTTTCATATCTTCACCTTCCATGACTATTCCTGCCGAATGTTGTCGTGCTGCCATTTGTGACTGCTGCCAATATTGTGTCATGCTGCCAATACCATTGCATAACTTGCTGCCAACTCTCTTTGACATGATGAAATGGGTTAACAGGGTGTAAGTATTCAAAATTATCATTTTGAAATTGAACAAGTAATGCGAAGTAAAAAGTGGTAATCTGGAAACTGAATTAAAATGCACACATTTGAAAAAAACACATAGAAACAATACCCCAAAAAAGCTTTATATTAAAGAATATTCACTTTTGAGACTTTTGAGACTTTTCTTCATTAGAGATCAAAGATAATCCCAAGAAAAGAGTTAATATAAGAAGTATTCACATGGAATATCTACATTTATCATGATCCTTAGGAAAGTCCTTGTTGCTTGGACATCACACTAAGTTTGGAGGTTCAACTTCAATAGATTTAGAAGTATATTTTATTGACTTGTTGCTTTCTTGATTTAAGGTTATACCACTGTGTTGCATACATTGAAAGTAAAAGTTAAGATAAATGAAATGCACTTCATTTGAGAAAGACTTAGGAGGCCCAATGCCTCTTGAGAATCTTTGATCTTCTTTCAGCCTGTTCTATTATCTTATCACTCCACCTTCACAATATTGGTTCTGATTTAAAACTCGCAATTTGATCCATGATTTCCTATGTTACAATCAAATTCTCAACAAGCTATTAGTAGCAAATCATCAAAAACTTGATTTGTTTTGATTTCATTCGGAAACCATCCATCTTTTTAACGAAGAGAGACAAAGCGTCTTTTATCTTCGACTTCATCTTAGGCTGGCTCAAGCTGGCCCAGTGAGGGGTCGAGAAGTTGGCTCCATTTTTCAAAGCCGCTAAAACTTAATCTGGATGTGTTTCCTTAGCAATTATCCAGTATAATTAACTGTGTATTTCCAGCTAAGATTTCTGTGATTTTGTTACTAAAGCCATTGGTTTCATGGTTTGTCTTGTAAATTGCCTTGTAAAATTGTTACTTCTTGATGTTAGTTTGTGTTTTACAAAAGTGGCATAGTGTTGAGTTGACTTCCCTCACGTAAAATTGCATTTTAGTCCATGTTTTTAAATGCAAAATAGAGTGGAAAAGAGTGTTTTTAACATGAAATAAAGTTAACAAAAATGAAGTTGAGACTCTAAATTGTTTAGAAATGTAAAAAAGTCATGTGGTTTATTCAAATTTTAGAGAAAAAATGTTGTTTAAAAAACATGGGAATGACACATTGGTTACAGAAAATATCATATGTTTTCAGATATCTCAACTTGTCAACATGTTCCTAGTGGGATGGCATCACGTATCAAAAAGTTCAATCGTTCATAAAAAATGTTTAGAAAATACCAATTGAGGAAAACATATTGATTGCAAATGCCACTGTTGTCTGATCCCCCTCCCTCCCAAACTATTTGCTTCGCCAACATTGCTTTGGGAGTGAATGGGAGGGGGTACTGCATGCCAGATTGAGGGCCTTGATTAGGTGTAATATTGAATGTCTGATTTTATTTTATTTTCATATGGTGATTTGCTGATTGTTGAATACAAATGAACAATACCAAAACCAAAACAGTATGTAAGTATATAAGTACTCAATTATTTTAGTTTATGTATTGTATGATAGGATCTTCAACCAACATCAACACAAATCCCTGTGGGGTGTGGGGGGGTTGAGCCAAAAATTCTTTCAAAATCATGCAGTTTTCACCATTCTGGGCACTATTCAAGTGATTTTTAGCCAAATTTTGGGAAAAGCGATCCCCCTTGACAAAAGCTACGGGCCTGACACAAATGAGGTATTTTTTTGTAACTTGTTCTCCCCAATGTATTGCCCTCTCCCCTCTTTTCTCCTTTGAGCATGGCCTTTCCTGAACATCAACAAAATAGAATGCATGTGCATAGGTCATAAAAAAGAACCCGGACACTATAAGACTCAAACTTCACCCCATATGTATGCAGTGTATCTTGTTTTGATCCTGATAACATGGGTCATAAAATATTTTCATCACGCTTGAGGTATTATAGTCTTCCAAAAAACTTGTAACAATTTATGAAATTCTCAACAAGGGTGGTGCTAAACATGACTGTTCATGAACTAGGGATTAGTGGACATTTTGAACATGTTTTGTGCATGTTATTGTACAATGTTTAGCTGTTGCTCGATTGAGAGGTATTAGTTGGTGACATTCGTAGCAGTGTGTAAACCGTCTTGTTGACAAGTTTTAAAACAAGGCCCCTTTTTAGTTGTATTTTGTTAGGAGTGATTTTACATAATGCGAAACACATTTGTAGTGTTCGCGAGATGATGCCAGTAAAACATGTTGTCGCAATGTTGGTTTATACACTGCCCATATTTCACAGGTTCCCACCATTGTTGCATCACTTATTATAAATTATTATGTATAATGCAAGATCGATGCAATATATTTGTTTGGTATGTTAATGATACACCTGTTATTAAGAGAGAGGTGTCAATGACCCCAAAATCGATTTCAAGTCCATAAGTGTAAAATCCCTCGAGTCAATATAAAGTACATGTACATGTACATGTACATGTCTATATATTGTTGTATATTGCTGAAAATTTATGTCAAGTGCAATTTTTTCTTCCGTGTTGTAAATTGAAGTAGAGTTTGTTCTAAGAATCTCTTCATTTGATAAAAGTCCCATAATGCATTAGTTACACACTAGAGGTGATTTTTTTTAAAGATGCACATTAAAAATTTTCTTTCTTTAATACAAATGAGAGTAACTAGCACTGAAACTATGATGACAGTTTAATGATCTAAATCTATCTTGTCATTGTAACAGCCATTCTTGTCATGTTTTACCCATAATGCATTTCTTAAAAGCAGAAGACCAGAAGTTAATTATACAATATGTTAATTAGTAGCTAGGTCAAATTTGTTTAGGTTTTAATTTTCAATGAAGAATCTTCTAAGCTGTCTACCTGAAAATCTACAAACAAATATCTCAGTTAAAACTATGGAGTGTGCACAGATTGAGCTTGTTTACTTAGATTTGAGGTGGATTCAATTCAAAGCTTGCAAATCATCTTCATGCAAATATGTTATCTTCTTTGTGTAATAATATAAGGCAGATGGCTCAGAGCGGGGATTGCCTCGCTTTAGAAATGTTTTCTTAGGTATCGACTTGTAAAGCCGGGATTTACACATGTTAAAGCTTTGTATATATGTCTCTGTGTGGAATTTACTGAGACTTTGAAGGTTGTTAACATGAAATAGAACAGATTTCTGAATAACTAAATCTTTTTTTCAATTTTTTTTCATATTTGAATGTAGATTTGTTTTGATCTTGTTAACATTAATTTTCCTTTAAATGAGATAAAATTAACAGATCATTTACAGAAAATGTTCATTTTGTGCTTTATTGTTTAGTAAATAAGTAACTATCTCCCCCAGGAGATTTCTCTCATCTCCTTTCATGAGCTAATAATCCCATAATGCATTTGTCATTGCAGACGACTTTCATCCAAAGGTTACAGTGACACATATGTGTGTGCTATGAACCATTTTACCGTAAAGAAAATAGTTCATAAAACTGATTGAAACACTTGAAATGTTGTTTTAGATTGAGTTAATTGATTCAGCTGAATTGTATTCCATTCATTGAAAATGTTAGAAAAGTCACAAACGTAAACCATTAACCATATGACATTTCCAATGCATGTAATAAGACAAGGTGCATTTTATATGACACTGTTCGAAGCATAAACATTTTACTATTATTGAGGTGTTTATGTAATAGGCATGTTTGTATTTATGTAAAACAAGTGTTTGCATTGTGCAATTGTTTTAAACGTGAAGTAACAGAAATATACATTTAATTTACACTTTTCTCGGAAAATTGATTGATTGTAATATTCTTTTATGTTGGAAAGACCTAAACTTATTTGATTATAGACAAAAAGCTTGTTTGTAAAAAACATTTCCATTTAAGATGTTCACACGTGAATTATGTCATGTTTTGCATCCCCCTGTGCCATACTCAAGTGCATCATTATGTATAAGGTTAAAAGGTCCTGTTAGAATGTTATGTTTACTTGTAGTTTTTATACCTCATTGCGTCAACCATAAACCCAGTCTGCGACCATACAAATTTTATTTGACTTTTCGTGAAACCAAATATCGTACAATTCGCCTCAAATCATTGAGATGTGAAATGTAACATTTTACAAATTATTGTAAACAAACATTGATAATGCAACACAGTTAGTTTGTCTGAAGCTAAGTGGTCCCCACCACAAAAATAATACCATACCCTCTCTTCTAACATTTGTGATACATTTTAAGCTAAATTGATACACGGTTTGCCTTAAAATCAAGTTCTTGTTTAATTTTCTTTTAGTGTTTTTCTTGTTTAAGTTATCACTATTGCAATCTTATACAAACAATTTCAGTGATCTCAACATTTAGGGCTCGGTTTCCGCAAACTGAATCCTGGTACAAAGTAACGCTAATTCCGTGCAAGTGTTTCACAGAGTTTCGGTTCAAGATCGGGATATTTGAGTAAAAAATCTTGAGTGATCTATGACCAAAGGCCCTGTTGTGTATGTGAATCTTAACATAGGGTGGGCAGATTGTGATCATTTCCCATTCATAAACAAACATAATATTTGACGATTTTCTATCAATATAAAAAAATTAAAGTATCGCCTTGATTGCATTTTTATGTTACATTTCAGATACACAAATTATTCAAGTGTATAAAACTTCTTTTCTTTTGTTACCGTTGAATTTGAATGGAGAAACATGTCGTTTTTGAATTTTTTCTCTGGGTATGTCAAACAAATATGTGTGTAGTAGTAGTAGTCAGTGAGACTGATCTTAATTACTGATACTTTTCTGTATATGCCTTGGAGGGAAACATCTTTTTGATTTCAGATTCCGCTTCGAGATTTCTGAAACTGTCGAGAGACAATTGATTGAAAATGCTATCTATTTTGACCTAATAATTATGATCTTGATCGAAATTCTTAATGAGTTTTTCTCGTTTTCGTTCAGTTTCAGAAGTCATAATGTGTTGATTGGAAAATAGATACATGTATCTATCGTATAATCTGTAATCAGGGTATAAGATATGTGTGATTAGTTAAGTTGCTGACACTTAGAAGTTGCTGAGACCATTAAAAAAATTTCTCTGAAAATATGGCAGTTAGAATTTGCCACGTCTGCATTTCTTGATTGTAGGACATAAGATTTATAGTTTTAGCTCCATGGTGCCTTATCCAACATATTTTCTCATTCATAAAAAATCACATTTATTAACCCCATTATAAAATCAATCAGTGAATTTTATCATTTTTTAATAGGCACCTGGTTCGGTATAATCTCAGTTTTACTATCTAAATCCATCTAGAATTTTCATTTTATGTTCAGGATTCATTGATAATTTCAGTTGTTTTGCCTATAAATTGAAGGAAATGCTTTTACCTCTTACGTTTAT